AGGGATCCCGTAGACCAGTGGTTCTCAACCTTGGCTGCACATTAGAATCACCTGGGAATCTTTTTAAAATCCTGATTTCCGGGCCTCATTCTCTGGAAATTCTGTTTCTTTGTTATGGGGTGGGGGCCACAACATTAGTAACAAAGAAACATGTGGGCGTCCTGGACACGCCGCTACTCAAAATACACACAAAAATTCATACCTAGATTCTATAATGTCTCAGAGCTCACTGACTCCCACCTGCTGTCTCCGCCAAGAACGGACCTCAGCTGAGAATTACTAACTCTCTAGGCCAGGGGTCCTCAAACTACGGCCCGCGGGCCACATGCAAATACAAATATTGTATTTGTTCCCGTTTTGTTTTTTTACTTCCAAATAAGATATGTGCAGTGTGCATAGGAATTTGTTCATAGTTTTTTTTTTAAACTGTAGTCCGGCCCTCCAACGGTCTGAGGGACAGTGAACTGGCCCCCTGTTTAAAAAGTTTGAGGACCCCTGCTCTTGGGGGTTGCCACTGCGGGGATGGTCCCCTTCTGAGGTACAGGCTCAGCTGAGAACGTGGAAAGAGCTCCCAGAGGTTGGATCCGGAGTGGAGCACTAGTCTCCCCCCCTCCTCCCCGCTTCCGGGCCAGGCCTTGGTGGGAAGGAAGGGTTCTCAGGGAGGAAGAGATCTCTAAGGCAGTAGTTTCCTAATTTTAGGTGGGCTGGGATCCGGGACCTCAGGAGAAACTTGGGAAAGTCCAGCCCCTGTGTCCAGCCCCAACGTCCCCAAACACAGAAGCCCAGGGGCCTTCAGACAGGACATGGATGCCTGCTCCAGGTCCCTTGGCTCTAAACCGCCCCGAGCTCACACCTGGAGGCGGTCCCGAAGCGGGTGGCCAGCGTGTCTGTGATGCCCCACAGGAAGCGGTAGGGGTTCTTCCGAGTGAAGAGGAAGTAGATGAGGGGCAGCACCAGGAGCCCATGGATGGCGTGGCCCAGCAGGCAGCACAGGATGTATTTGCCGAGTTTGGCGAAGAGCTTCCCCACGTCGTCCCCCTCCGCGATCTTGCTGGCCACCAGGAACAAGATGCCCACGGGGGCATACCTAACACCCAGGAGACAGAGGGCAGCCTCTGAGCACGTGCCCACTCAGGGCCAGGCACTGGGCCCCACACACAGCCTGGCCACCGGCCCCCTCGGAGTCAGGAGGCGCCCGGAGCAGTGTGTGTGTGGGAACCCGGCACCTCCCCTGCCCTCCTCGTGCCCTCTCCCCTTGGAGATAGCGTGGCCAGGAGATCAAAGGAGCCTGGTGCTTCCCTCGCCACTTGGAGTAGCGTCACCAACCAGATCTGGACTCAACACATGACGGAGAGAGAAGCACGCACCATGAGTGAGTCATTTACGATTTCCGGGTTCCTTTGTTACAGCAGCTGGTATGACTTATACCAATACGATGATCTCTCACCACATCGTGAAAAAGGAGAAGACCATGGCTCACGTCTTAACGACAGCTCCGAGGCATGAAGCCTGTACGATGTGCTGAGCCCCCGAGTGTGACAGAACCGTCCCCACCAGGGAGCTCCTTTCTCGACTCTCTTACAGCTACCACCGAATTAACAACATTTGATAGGTCCCCGTAACGCAGCAACAGTAATGCTCCCAACCTCATAAGAATGCTGAGAGGACGAAAGGAGATGCCAGTGGAAATGAGCTGAGTGCTTTTTAATAATTCATCCATAAACTTCAGCACCCTCTCCTGGAGGGAAGATCCCGGGGTGTTTATGCCTCCGGGCCAGGAGGCCCCCCAGGATTGCCTTGTCCGGGACGGCTTGATCGCTATTACCAGGTGTCTCCCAAACCCTTTTCCTCTTTAGTAAGAGAGGAAAGGCACCGTTTCCCAGCAACCTGTGCCCCTGGGTTTGGCCAAATGCCCATGTTCTGGCCAGTGAGCGATGCCAAGAAATTATACAAGTCAAGTACTGGATACATATTAGCTAACATTGTTTTCTGCCAGCCTGCTGTAAGTCAGGCACTGTCCCAGGCACTTTACACGTATTAACTTTGTGTGTGTGTGTGTGTGTGTGTGTGTATTAACTTTTTTGTGCCTGGTCCGCTCAGCCCCATTTGCCAGGTAGGGAAACTGAGGTACAGAGGGAGAAGTAACTGGTTGTCGGGCACAGCTAGGAAGTGGCCATGCCGATAATGGGAACCCAGACCACCCAGCTCTGACCCACAACACATCGCAGCCTCTCCAGCAAGGTGCTCTTATTAGTCAAGCTGCACTTGATTCCCGCACAGCAGCTTCTTAGATGCCGGCTGCACTGGAATCAGGTGGGCGGGGTATAGGGCTTGTTAAAAACCCAGCAGCTTGCCCTGGCCAGTTTGGCTCAGTGGATAGAGCGTCGGCCTGCAGACTGAAGGGTCCCAGGTTCAATTCCGGTCAAGGGCACATGCCCGGGTTGTGGGCTCAATCCCTAGTAGGGGACATGCAGGAAGCAGCCAGTCAATGATTCTCTCTCATTTATGTTTCTGTCTCTCTCTCCCTCTTCCTTCCTCTCTGAAATCAATAAAAACATATATATTAAAAAAAAAAAAAAAAAGCAGCCAGAACCAGTTTGGCTCAGTGGATAGAGCGTTGGCCTACGGACTGAAGGGTCCTAGGTTCGATTCCAGTCAAGGGCATGTACCTTGGTTGCGGGCACATCCCCAGTAGGGAGTGTGCAGGAGGCAGCTGATCGATGTTTCTCTCTCATCGATGTTTCTAACTCTGTATCCCTCTCCACTCCTCTCTGTAAAAAATCAATAAAATATGTTTTAAAAAAGCAGCAACTTTTCTGGCTCGTGTGTCTCAGTGGTTGAGCATCAAACTATGAATCAGCAGGTCATGGTTCGATTCCCGGTCAGGGCACAGGCCTGGGTTTCGGGCATGATCCCCAGTGTGGGGTGTGCAGGAGGCAGTCGATCAATGATTCTCTCTCATCATTGATGTTTCTAACTCTCTCCCTCTCCCTCCTTCTCTGAAATCAATAAAAATATATATTTTTTAAAATTCAGCAACCCTGGCCCCCCTCCCAATTTCTGACCTTTAGATCCAGGGCGGGGCCTGAGAATCAGTGTGAGGCTGGGGAGGGGAAAGTAGGGAAGCCAGAGGCCTGTGAACATGTTTTTTTCTCTCATTAACTAAGGTCATTTAACAAAACCCATAATGTAAGAGCTGTAGTTATAGTAAGTGAATGCTCAGTAGGGCCAGGCACTTAAAACACTTTCTAAGTGCTTTCTTGACCTTTCTATACCCAGTCACTTGTTTCATCTTTGTGATAACCCTATAAAGCCAGTACTATTTTATGTTATTTTATTATTCCTCACCCAAGGATATTTCTCCATTGATTTTTAGAGAGAGTGGAAGAGAGAGGGAAAGACAGAGAGAAATATCGATGTGAGAGAAACACATCTATTGGTTGCCTCCCGCAGGCACCCCAACCAGGGCCAGGGAGGAGCCTGCAACCCAGATATGTGCCCTTGACTACAAGGGAACCAGGGACCCTTCAGTCTGCAGGACGACGTTCTATCCACGGAAGCCAAATCGGCTAGGGCAGTGGGTGCAATTTTAGATCATTGATCCAAAAGCAGATATTTGATTACCTTTCAATCTAAAACTGAGATGTGTTCGCCAGGCTGTGGCTATAGCTTGGCTGTGTTTTTGTCACCTTCCAGTAAGATCAAGGTGCTAGTATCAGTCTAAGCCAGTGATGGCGAACCTATGACACGCGTGTCAGAGGTGACACGCGAACTCATTTTTTTGGTTGATTTTTCTTTGTTAAATGGCATTCAAATATATAAAATAAATATCAAAAATATAAGTCTTTGTTTTACTATGGTTGCAAATATAAAAAAATTTCCATATGTGACACAGCACCAGAGTTAAGTTAGGGTTTTTCAAAATGCTGACACGCCGAGCTCAAAAGGTTCGCCATCACTGGTCTAAGCTTTCATGGAATACAGCACTGTCCTTATTTGATAATGAGGAAACTGAGGCACAGAGAGGGTAAGTCACTTGCCCAATGTCACACAGCCCTGGGATGGTCAATGCTGGATTTGAATCCAGGCCTTCTGGCTCTAAGAAGTGCACAGGTCACCCCATCCGACACCCCAAGCCCCCTCTCCCACCACCTACCACATGATCCAGGAGACCAGCACCATGGTGGCGTCGTTGAAGGAGTTGAAGAAGCGGATGAGCAGCTCCCCCTCGGGCCCCAGCTTCCGCAGGCACACGCCAAAGGCGATGGCAAACACCACCAGGCCCAGGATGTTCATACCCTCCACCTCACCCGCCGCCTTTGGGCAAGGAACAGATGGAGACGGGAGGGGGATGCTCAGTCAACTTGCAAACTCACTGAGGGCCTGTCCTGGGCAGTACTGGGACTCATCAACTCAGGTCCCTTCCTACCAAGGCTCAGGGTGGTCCAGGTCCAGGGGAAACAGACCTACGACCATGAATCCCCCAGAGTGGGCAGGGTTGAAATTGGAGAACCCTGGGGAGTGTGGGAACTGAGGGGGTAGGGGCTTGCAGCTCAGGGGTGTGGGTAATCAGGTAGGGCTTCCTGGAGAAGGGGCTGAGACCTAGAGGACAGCAAGGGTGACCAGGTAAAGAAGGGGTGGCAGAAAGTTCTAGAACAGTGGTTCTCAACCTTCCTAATGCCTCGACCCTTTAATACAGTTCCTCATGTTGTGGTGACCCCCAACCATAAAATTATTTTCGTTGCTACTTCATAACTGTCATTTTGCTCCTGTGATGAATCGTCATGTAAATATCTGATATGCAGGATGTCTTTTCATTGTTACAAATTGAACATAATGAAAGCATAGTGATTCATCACAAAAACAATATGTCATGATATCTGTGTTTTCCGATGGTCTTAGGCGACCCCTGTGAAAGGGTCGTTCAGACCCCCAAAGGGGTCGCGACCCACAGGTTGAGAACCGCTGTTCTAGAGAGAGGAAATAATTTGCAACAGCGTAGAAATGAGAGCAACTTGGGCGTTCAAAAAGCAGAAAGAAACCCACTGTGTCTGGAGGGGAATGAGTCGGGCAGAATCTCGAGATGAGACTGGGAGGGCGAGGGGGCGGGGGTCTGACCTCAGAGTGTCCTATGCTCTGTGGCCAGGAGCCCGGGCTTTCTTCTGAGGGCACCCGGGAGTGTGGCGGGGCTTTGAGCAGGGGGGAGGCAGGGACCGGCTTGTACTTTAAAAAGACCACTTCGGCCCTGACCGGTTTGGCTCAGAGGATAGAGCGTCGGCCTGCGGACTGAAGGGTCCCAGGTTCGATTCCGGTCAAGGGCATGTACCTTGGTTGCGGGCACATCCCCAGTGGGAGGTGTGCAGGAGGCAGCTGATCGATGTTTCTCTCTCGTCGATGTTTCTGACTCTATCCCTCTCCCTTCCTCTCTGTTAAGAGTCAATGGAATATATTTTTAAAGAAAATAAACAAACAGATCTGGGAGGAGGCCAGGAAGGGGGTTGGGGGGTTGGGGTCGGGGTGGAACAAGAGCCTGGACCACAGTGGGGAGTGGGGGAGAAGAGGGGGTCAACATGGAGACTCCAGAAAGGCAGAGGGACTGACACTGGAGAAAGGCTGCACAGAGTTTAAAACCAAATTACACACCAAATGCTAGACAACCAGGGGGTAAACAGAGGCTAGGGCCCCCCACCCTTCTCCTGCGCTCACCTTCACATAGGTTCCGTTGTCCTTTGTGTAGTAGGTAGAGTACTGCAAGGGGATTGGGAAGCGTCAGTGTCACACTCATCCAGGGCCGCCCCCCCCCCCCCCTCCCCGCCGGACTGGCTCCTATAACGGCCAAAAAGCCCTTCACACATCATCTCATTCCCTCCCACCAGCAGCCCCACTGGGATAAGAATGCTCATGCCCCTTTCCTGGAGGCAGGAACCGAGGTTCAAAAAAAATAAAGGCAGTTGCCCAGCATCACACAGCTAGAATTAAAACCCCACGGGCGCTGGGGAGCCGTATCCTCATTTGTGGGTGAGCGGGGTGGATGGCTTTCAGAGGTCACCCCAGAACCCTGAAATAGTGCCTGTAAATACGTGGGCCGGTACCACCCACACAAGCACCAAGGGGCTGCGACTGGCTGTCTTCCTCCCTGCCCACCCCCTCCCCCCTGGGGATTCCCCCTCGCCCCCTCCAGGACTCACTGAGCGGAAGGTTGCAGACACCAGGTTGGAAGGGAAGAGATTTCTGTAAAGATAGACATGGGGGCGGTCATTAGCTACCACAGGGGGGAAGAGGGGGGTATCTGAGGGGCTGGGTTGGCCTCCTGAGGTGGGCAGAACCTTGCAGGCCCGCCCATTGCCCCCAAATATGTGCCCCCACCCCCTGTGCCTCAGCTAGGTTCGGTCAGGCAGAGCAGAACCTGGCCTGCACAGTTACAGGGGGTGGGAGTTCGAGCTGGTCTCCCAGGGCCCCAGTAGGCTGTCATCCTAGCCCGAAAGGATTTCCGTGGCGGGTCAGAAATGCTGGCTTCCCCAGGCAGTCTGGGGCAGGGTCACCTTTGGCCTCAGCTCCACCCCAAGAGGCAAACTTAATACCCTGGACATCTTGCATCAGCCACTTCCTCCGAGAAAAGGGCAGGCTGGCCCTGGGGGCTGGCGGGCGGCTCTGGGCCGTTGAGAAGAGGTGGGGACAGAGGAAGACAAGAGGCGGCTGTGTGCGTCATGAATGTGCATCTGTGTTCCCGCGGCCGCTGTCGTGATAGGACGTGTGTATGTGACAGTCGGGGCGAGCCCAGCTGTCAGTGTGCCACATCACAGCCCTGGCCGCGTGTCTGCGTGTCTGCGTCCAGCTGTGTCGCTCAAGATATTTCAGCCGAGTCTGGGAGTGGCTGGCTGAAACAGATACAGAATTACAGCTGTTCTGGCACATGGGGAGGCCCTTCGGCATAAACAGCCTTGGGGGGGGGGGGTGCAGGTGGGCTGGTGCTCACCCTGGCCAGCCAGGGCGGGCCAGGCCCCAGCTAATCTCCCCGAGCCAGGAGGTGCCACCCATTGCAACGTCTGGGGTGAGTTTCCCATCTCGGGCGGCACAGAGGCCGCCAGAGGCTGGGGGAACCCAGTTCCGTGACTCATCATCTACCTCCACCACTTCCAGGAAGTCCCCCGCCAACCGGAGACACTGAGTCAGCAGGCCCCCAAGGCGAGGGAGGCCATGTGGACCCAGCAGTCTGTCCCCTTTAAAAGGAGGGAGGACCGTTCTTGGGGTAAGGGAGGGAGGGGCTCGGGGAGCAGAGGCCAGAAGGAGAAGCATCTGCCCCCTTGGTAACTGGCCCCCTTCTGGCACCCAGGAGGGGATGGAATGGAAAGTGGTGGAGGTGGCAGGACTTAACCAGGAACAGACCCTGAGCGGCCAGATGACCACCCCATCGGTACTTCATTGACACTTCCAAAAATACTGGATATTGAAAACTTCCTAAGCAAATACTCTCAAGGTTTTATTATTATTATTATTTGCGTAACTAATTCACTTCATTGTGCTGATGGGGTGGTCATAATCATCTGGCCACTCAGTGTATGTCGGGGAAGCCACCAGGGCCCAGCTGAGCGGGGTGGGAGGGAGGCTGAGAAAAGAGCCTGGGGGTCTGGGTGTCACGTGGCATGGGAAGCCCTGGGACTAGGAAGAGACCTGGTGGGGATCAGGGGATCTATCCAGACCCTGGACTCAAACCTTCATCCAGAAGCCCCTCCGGGGGCCCTTGGCCACCAAAAGTCCCCTTGGGAAGCCTCAGGATCCCCTCCCCTGATAGGAGAGCCCCTCTATATCCCCCAAGCATTACTTTCCCTTTTCTCTGTAAGCACCCTCAGGTGGGGTCCCCCCCTTATGTCTCCAGTCCCCCACATTTAGAAGCCTCCTTCCCGGGGAATCTCTCCTCCCCCTTGAAAGACCAGAGCTCCCCCCAGCCTCCCCTACAGTTTCCCGAGGCCCTGGAGGTCTCCACCCCCGCTCCTGGCCGCGCCCCGACTCCCGCCATCCCGATCACCATTCCCTCCCCACGTGGCTGAAGTCCCCTCTTCCCCGCTCCCCTCCCCCCGCGGCGGCGGGTTCTGACCTCACAAGATCCAAGAAGGAATCCAGCACCTCCTTGCTGGGGACCGCGTCTTGCGAGACGTCGCTCGGGACAGAAGCGTTGCCGATGGCTGTGCCGGCGGCGGTGCCGTCGACTCCGGGCTGCAGAGCCAGCGCGATGCCCACGCCGAGCGCGGACGCTATGAGTGTGGTGACCAGGAAAAAGAGCAGCGCCCAGGCGCCCATGCGCCCCAGAGCGCTCGGGTCCAGGCTGGCGGCGCCGCCGATCAGGCTGCACACCACCAGCGGCAAGATGATCATCCGCAACAGGCGAAGCAGCAGCTCCCCGGGGAAGGCGAAGGCCGCCTGCCGCGCGGGGCCCAGCGCCGCCGAGCCACCGGACGCGGACACCCCCAGCCCCAACGCCACGCCCGCCACCACGGACACCACGGTCAGCAGCACCAGCAGGTTGGCGCGAAGGCAGCGGCGCACCCGGTCCCGGGAACAGGAGCCGCCTCCCGCCGCGCCGGGGGTCCGCTTTGGGCACCGACGCCGGGATCCCGTTCGCGGGGGGCTTCGCGGCCGGCCACGTGGGGGCTCCCGTCGGCGGATCGGCCACCATCGTGAACATCCCGGGGTTTCCTCATATCCTGTGAAGCTGTGCGGGTCTCTGGGGCTTCTGCCTTCGACCGACGCCTGATTTCCTTAGAGCGGAGCTGGGTAATAGCTTGCGGGCTAGCAGCGCAGGGCCCCTGGCGCGTGTTCACCGCTCTCAAGCTCCTGGTCTTTTCCAAAATGGAA